GAAATTCAAGCTACCAAATATTGGTACAACTGCTCCTTAGCTATTCGACCACCTGTCAAATATGAACCCTCTGCGGAATTATCCTATCGGATCTTGTGTTAAGCAATAGAAAAAAAAATCACAGCAAATTAAAATAATTGTAAGAAAAGAGAACACCGAGTTTTAACGAAGTTCGGCAACTTGCCTACTTCCTCGGGAGCCACACAAATAATTTCTTTTATATTAAAAAAGATTACAAAGCTTGTAAAAGAGTAAATCTCAACTTGAGATCTCTCAAAAGAAGCAAACAAAAAAAACTATCTGTTGCTCTTACAAAGGCATGAGATTTTACAACAGTAAAATCTCCTCTCTCACAAAATCTCTACAGGAATCAATCCTCTCCAATAACTGAGATTTTCAACTTGTAAATCTCGTGCTCAGCCGCCGCCAAGAAGTCGCTGAGAAGAAAATCGGAGGGAGAGAGAGGGCGCTTACTCTCGTGCTCATGGTTTCCCTTAAATAGGGAAGCCCTAGGGCCAAGGCAAATGGGATCCAGCTGGATCCAACTCAGGCGCAGACGAAAGGGGGAAAAAGATCGAGCTCACCTTCGCTCGCGATCTCGCTTGCACTTGGGGTTCGAGCCCGCCTGCATCAAAGCAACATTGAGCTCGCCTGTATTGACCCGTAGCAATCCTCCTGCAATAAGACCACTTGAGCTCGCCTGTCGAAACCCCAAACTCGCCTGTAGCCCTTCGCGAGCTCGCCTGCTCGCTCCAACTTCGCCTGTAAGTCACCGACCGATCTCGCCTGAAGACGCCAAGGACCTCGCATGCAACTAGCGATGTCAACTTCGAGCTCGTCTTCGCTGTTCGACCTCGCCGGAGCTTGCTGTCAGCCTCGAGTTCGCCGCTGACAGGTATGGATCTACACTCATTTCCAACACTTACCGTATCTTCAAATAACTATCAAACGTGAAGCTCAAATACCGAAATGATTGTTTCATCGCTCAAATACCATTGTGTTTTACTTGTTTCCATGGTGTTTTTTCCAAAAATAAAACACCACGTGTTTGAAAACCATGGTGTTTTTTGAGCTAAATCATCCTCAACCCAAAAACAAAACACTTATTTCAAAACACCTTTTAGGTGTTTTAAGTTTGATGTTTCGGGTTTGAGTTTGAGAATGTGTTAATATAATATCTAAAATAATATATTAAATATAATTATTATAGAGTTATTATCAACATGCTTATTATATTATATTATACTACACAATATTATAGTTAATTTAATATATTAGTAATATTTGTTAAATAATATAAAAAGATAATAAATAAAATATCTTATATAATAATATAGTAACATATTAAATACCAATATTTAATATGTTAATAATGTATTATATAATAAAAAATATAAATAAAATATAAATAAACTAATAAAAATAATAAAAAAAGTTATTGATAATAAATAATAATATAATAATGATATAATAATATACTATACAATATTATAATCGCTATAATATTATTAAGTTTTTAATAAATAAATTGTAATAAATTAATAACTATAAAATATTATATAATAATAACATATTTAATAATAACATAAAAATATAATAATAATATTATAATAACATATTGTATAGTAAATGTAATATAATATATAAAATATTAATATATTATGCAATAAATAATATAATTTATTATAAAGTAAAATAATTTTTAATAATAAAATAATTTATTGCTAACAAATGTTAATGTAAAAATAATATATTCATAATATAATAATATAATATATAAAATATTAATATATTATGCAATAAATAATATAATTTATTATGTAAAATAATTTTTAATAATAAAATAATTTATTGCTAACAAATGTTAATGTAAAAATAATATTTTTATGATATAATAATATTTATTTATATCATAAATACATCATATTAAAGTACAATATAATATTATAATATATTATATAATATTATATTGCATTACATTTAATACTTATAATACTATAATAATGTAAACTAAATATTATAACATTTTATTAATAATATATTTTATTATAATTAATATATAATATATTAATAATATGTTTAATACTAAAGTTATAATTGGTCAAACTAGTGTCAACAAAAAATACTTAACATAGTGTTTTGAAAACATTTTAAGAGAAAAACACAACACCATGGTGTTTTCTTACAAAAACACAATAAGAAAAACACCATGGTATCCAAACAAAGCCTAATTAGCCAAGGGGCTTCCGATAACTATACAGACATCATCAAGACAAGCTACATAAATAAAATATGTGTATAAAAAACATTCTAGCACTATTGCACGTGCGAATGCACGCGCAACAAAAAAATTAAACCTTACCTGTTCTAGTTTTTTTATAAAAGGGTCACTTTAATATCCTAACAAAGTATTCTCGACTTTTGTAAGATTTTTTATAATATCTGTTAACTTGCTACAGTTATTTTACTTATCTCATTAAAAAATTGAAAAATTTCTATGATATATATTTCAATTTGAGTGACGATATAACTTTCCTAGATAATGTCATTGACAAGAGTCTTCTTTTTATCATTTATCTTTTGATTATTGTCATTAGCTATTTTAAAGCTAAGTATTTTTGTATTTAGATATGAACATTCGATAATATTTGCCTCGACACATGTTAAAATTCTAATTGTTTATTTTATTATATTTACTTTTATCTTTTTCTTTGAAAAAGAACTTTAGTAGTTTTATAGTTATATCAATTTGACAAAGTTTTTATTTTAATAAAATAAACTAGGATTGAACATCTACATTCATACTTTTACAGTTTTATCCTCTTTAGTAACGTCTGCCCCCTAATTGTAGTACGCTTCTAAGCGGTAACAACAAGTAAATAAATTTGTAGAGCGGTGACATGTGGCGTCCTGAGCGGCCACACAACACACACTACGTAGATCCGCCGCTGCAAACAATCATAATTAAGAGGGATAATCCTCACCGTTAGCAAATAACAAATGTTTTTAAGGCTCAAGAGGAGAATGACCGAGAGTTTCCCAACAGAGGGGGGTCCAGAGTGTGCCAATGATCTCATACTCAGAACGAAAGCGACCAGTCACAGCATCAACATATATATATATATAATTAATAGAGAACGAGCGAACAACGCGAGGCAATCCTCCTCATGCTAGTTAAAGGATTTGTTTGTATTAGCGCCATTTCGATGGCTTGGGAAGGTGGGAAATGGTTGTCTACAAGCATCGCATAAGCTTGATCCTGACAAGATTCCTGAAAGGGAAGCAGCTAGCACTGCCCATAATAGCTCGGCGCCCAATAATGAATTGAGGTTGCTAATTCTGGACAATTTAATCAAATAATTAGGAGGGAGGGAGGGAGGGAGGCTTACCGGTGAGCCAACTTCTGTTGAGGTCACGGGTCGGATCGCGCCATTTTGGATTCATGCAACATGCCAGCTCCCTGGGCAATATATTAGTTCACAAGGCTCATTGGCTAGCTAACAAGGAAACAAGGAAATGTTGAAGTCATGTGACTGTGCATCCTGCTAAGCATTTGTTAAAAGAGACAAAGCAGGGGATTAAGAGGACAAGTAGAGGATTTAATGCTTCAGGAGTTGTATAAAGATCCAGATCGGGTAGACTTTGTACAGAGGAAGACAAGACGAGAGATTATAAAATTTAAAGCTGGGTCTGGATGTGGGTGCGCATTTAATGATAACGAACACATCTGAACGTCAGGTTATATTGGAAAGAAACAGAAACCTGATATGCTCTGCCCTCAACTTGCGAGCTCACGAGGCAGGGATCATAAAATAAGATGGTGTGCATTTGGTAATAAACATCAAGAAAATTTTAAGATGGACCTGGATGATGGGTACAACAACGCCTTTATCCCAAAATTTTAATTTTTGGGGTCAGGTACGTCCAGATCAAAGTATGCATTTAATGATAGGGTTAACGTACGAGCCCCCTACTATCACCCGGTTGCGGGTAGATCCCCTTCAGTTATATTGCTGCAGATAGGCTGCGAGTGAAATTTATTCAGGGGGTTTATCTACAACAACGAACTGCAGGGGGGTCCATGTGCAATCAGCGATAGTACAGGCGGTCTATGTAAAGGGGTTTTTCCGCAATTAACCCTTACTAATAATGAACGGAACTGAAATTTAGATATATATGGAATGAAACAAAAAAAAATCTGATTGCGCTGCCCTCAACTTAGATATATATATATATATATATGGAATGAAACAAAAATCTGATTGCGCTGCCCTCAACTTGCAAGCTCATGAGTGGATCGCCACTGTTCGTATGCCCCCACAAGAAGTAGACGGCTCTGATCCTGCTGATGCATGAAAGGCCTGGAGGTTTAACACAAGGATTACTACTGACGCCTGCATCGTGAATGAGATTGATTGAGAATAGCAGCAATCGCAAAAATCCAAAATTTCAATCCAATCAGTGAACGTATACAGTGTCAAATAACGGACGGTTAAGGTTGTTGAACGATTTCGCCTACATCAGCTTGAAAATGTAAGGAAACACTAGTTAAGCAGAATTAACGCCGTAATCCAAAAGTCATTCACTTTTCAACAGTCTAGTACTTCAAATTAAGGAAGATAATAGAAAGGTGAAATTATTAAGTCCACAGAGATGAGGAGCAAACCCTTGGTTGTGCAAATGGATGTTAACAAAAATCAGGGGAAACATAATGGTAGCAATAAAAAAAATTGCACTTATTAAGCTATTGGAGGATCCCTTGAGGACAAAATAAAAATCACGCAGATGGTTCCAAGATCACATGAACTTTTATGACAAACACTAGACACCTATTTCTCTTCATCCTGTATCCGTTTTGTTTCAGAATCCCCGATTCATAAGAGGCAGTTTTCCTTTTAACTTTCAACTATATGTCAATCTGCAGTAGAACAAGCTTTTTAACTTTAGACACCAGAAAAATAATGAATGAGAAGCATTTAACTTATCATTTACAAACAAACTTAGGTATCGCTTTCCTCCCCATTGCGACAAAATAATAAAGGGAGATTCATTGGTAGATTATAAAGAAGCTTCATGATCCTATCCAAACAAGTGATTGGGACTAGAGTTAAAACGCTATTCAGCCCCACACAATCACACAGAACCACATGCATGACACAATAAAAGAATACATCACTAACTTTAGTGCGATAACATCAATAAAAAATGAACTACAGTACTACAACTCATCTGAATATGCAAGATTAACTGATCTGCGCTCACCCACTAACTCCCAAAAATCTGAATTCCTTCTCTGAAGAGTTAACACATCACTCTCTGGAACTTGGTTTATGCGCCATTAAGAAAACAGGATTCAAGCACCCCAGACTCATATAAAGATGTAAGCCTGGATGGCATTGCAATTAAGCACATACGTCGCGTAGATTGCATGATTACTGACTGTGAAGTTCCATAAAAAGTTAGGGAGTACCTACTGCTCAATCCTTCGATATCCGCACAAGTATTCCTGTCGGTGTTTGTACAGTTTTCAAGTGCCCAGATCCAATTAGGTCTCTCAGGTGAAACCGCATGTCTAGTGGTGATAGTCTCAACCGTTTCTTCTCTAGGGCAGCCAGATGCATCTCCCTGTATTTTCTTCTACTTAGAAATGAGAGGAGCTCCTTTCTTCCCTGAAAAATAACACTGATTATGTTTCATACTTTCATCAAAGATGAGAAATTCTTACCTTCATAAAGTTGCTAAACAAGTATGGCCCATATTTGAGTATGAATAAGCTAGGGATTCACTGATACAAATGTGACGGACTGGGCCCATTTTCCAGTTCGAAGCTATTTCAACTTTCAAGCTATCCTAAGCTCAAACTACTACAACCTGCTGCCTAGATTCCCCTTCAGCTTATGTAGATAAGCATTTGGTTGAACATGAGCAATTTACATGCAGTTTATGATCGTGTTTTCTTTCTCTTGGCTTGGGTTTCATTACCAGGGACGAAACTGAATGTGCATTCAAGTTTACGCCGTGTTCATCATGAAAAATTAGCCAGAATAACAGCATATTTTTTTAGCTTGGTCCTATCATTTGCGGGAACACACTTGACAAAATGCGCCTGATATCTTGTCTGAATCCCAGATTTATGATCCAATTGGATCTATTCTTGTACAATGACAAGTCTACTGGATGCCAAGAATTCCCACTGATGGGTTGGGTCAAAGCTATCACCCAAGACAATTCTGATACATGGCATGTATAGCATTCATGGTACTTTTCTTTAAAACAGATCTACAGCACAGATTATATATGTTCACAAGTGAATTCTTATATCAACCAAAAAGTGGTTATCCATTTTGGTTTGGAATTTTGTTAATAAAAAGCAGATTAAGTTTTGACTATCTACTTGAAGTAGGTTCTCTAAATATTTGAATATCCTTTCTTCTTTATCACACTTATATTGTATAAAGGCAGCATAAGTTGAGATATATGTTACCCAGACACTTCTAAACTTGAAGCTGTACCTGTACTCAACATGTACCGTACCCGTAGCCAAAGTCCTTGGGCACTCTTGCATATATACATACATTTATTCAGGAATGTACTCAATTAAACAATATATGCTCTAGTTTAGAACACTTGTCAAACATTTCTAGGACATAAATCGTACACTTCACATCCACTTCTTGAAACTAGTTGGGCTCCAAACTATGATTTCAATGGTCCAGTGGGCGTGTCTAGTTCAAAAAACGAGCACTTTATAATTTATATTCCATATAATAAAGAAACATAAAAATGTTATAGGACGGTTAATTCTCATAACACGTGTATAATTTTTTTTTAATCTCAAGTACACTATTATTTCAATATATAATATAGGTGTATACAATATTCATAAAGCTGCTCCGGTACTCTTACCTTTTACAAATTTGTTGTTAACTGTACCCATACCCATGGCCAGACCCATGCAACATAGGTTGAGATGAATTGGGTCTGAAAAAGAAAGTGATGCCTTCTAAGCAGTCCGTTTCTCCTGTAAGTTCTTACTAAAAGAATTTCTTACCCAATCATTTTCTTCAATTAAATCTTATTTCATTTATGCTTAATAAATGTCGGGTCCACGCATCAGCCATTAACCCCATGTCAGTTGGTTGTGAATTCCTGATCATGGTATGAATTAGGAAGAGAAACCATTAAGAATATTTAAACTTTAACAAAGTTCACATACCTTCTCAACAAATAAATTAAAAAAAAAAGAATTATTCTTAAATTCTTAACTTTAGTTTCTGAGAGAAAATACCTGTGACAAGCCTTTCAGTATAGATCCAATATTTGGAATCACAAACCAGTACATGTTTGGATCAATTAGTTGGCGAGTCTACAGCAAATTTGCTAGAATGTTAGAAAGCATTGAGTAATGAGCAAAATATGATGATAAAATAATAGAAATAGAAAGGTAATCCTTGAGCTAAAACAAAAAAGTTCGCTATGCATTATAGAATTTTTCATTGATTTTAAGAAAGAAAGAAAGTATTTGTTCTCTATTATTGTCTTTTGTACATAGACAGCAACACCAAGTTTCCACATAAATAGGTAGTTTAGCTCCATACTCTTCTTGAGTTCTTGAAAACCATTAACATGTTGTCATATAAAAACCATACGGTTTTGCATCAGTCTCGTTCATAAATAATCCCAAACTTATCATAATTATTCCCATCAATTTCTTGGATGACAGTCTTGTACAAGTTGCCAGTCTTTTCTTCCTACTTTTGGTAAGCACGTGTGTGTACCAGCTAAGAATGTGCAATCAAGCATTTTCCACAACTTGAACATCCAGGCTTATTTCTTGAACTCATTGGAAGTCAGTGTGTAATTTTCATCAAGAAAGAGTGATAACACAGACTACACCATACATTTAACATTTGTCAAATACTTAATATACACTAGCTATGACAGACAACAAAACAGAACGAACTATCACAGTTTTAATTGAAGTATTGTAATCTTTTGTCCTTAATTATTTCCTTTACTACTTCGACCCGTTTCAAGTTTTAACACCTCCCTACATAGTTGTGCGATTCCCTAGACCCCCCCCCCAAATGTTGTACAATTCCTGCGAACTGATTTGCGAACCGATTCTAGGTACATTTGTGAACCTCTGATAATGAATTGGTTCCCCAAAATTGACGTACCACTTAAAAGTGTGAGGGACGAATAGTCCATTTAGGTGCACATGAGCAAGACGCAAGCAATATGCGCAATTTAGTGAAGGGAGACACACAATAGAACATATGTAAGTCAATGACTTTACCGTAACTAAATACCTATGTTAATAAAACATGAAACGAAACCATGATCCCAACACAAAGTATATGAAAAGAAAAGCAGAAAAAAAGATCTCCATAAAGAAGTATTTAAATATTTTGTATGAAATTCATATACAATTAGCTTTATAGGTTCTTGTTTTCTACTACATGCTTTGGAAAATAGTAAGCTCACCCAAAAAATATTTATTATGTCCTACTGATTGAATTGCATACTGAGGCAAGATACTCTTGCTCGAATCTAAATTTTCTAAGTGGCGAATTGCGTATTCGAATTCGTACCATGACCCGCTACGTACCACGTATTGTGTAACTATGCCTCCCTACATAAATCTTGAGGTAATGCATCACATAAGAATGAGTGTCATATTCCTTCTTGATTACACTCGAGGAAGGCATAAATCCATAGTTAACATCTATGCTACTTTATTAAAAACAAACATAAGGAACCAACAAAAATATAAGCGTGGTAGATACTTTTTTCATTCAAGTAAGGATAATTTTGTAATTTCATAATGACTTTTCCAAGATTTTGAACCAGAAGGAACAGTTCCTTCCTGCACAAGGACATTTTTATAATTTCTACACTTTTCTAGAGTTTGAACCAGGCGACATCAATGTCTACATCAAGCAGGATCCACTTTTAGTTGGGTTATCTCTTCCAATTGTGCATATGTATATAAGTTCTTTTTCTCATCAAAGCCTTTTACAAGTCATATTCATATACTCTGAAATGATTAAATGAAATAAACTAGATGTAAATTTCACAAATGGGAAGTTCTATGAACATCCTTGTCTACTAAAATTGATAATAATAATAATAATAAAAGTTAAATCTGCCTCTGTTCATAATCCTATCTAACCTTTTATTCGACGTAAATTAGGATTTTAAAACATAAAGAATTATATAATCTTAATGGCTAGAAGAGAGTAGGGTGTTTGCAGTCTTTGAGGTGCAGTAACGGGGGGAACTACTAACATCTCACTCACATGCGGGATGTACTGAGGGGAATAATACTCAGGGGCATGATTAATTGCATTCATATTTATGAATTATTTTGCGAATAATTTATCAAACCATATGCTTATATTTTACTTTTCACTAAAGTAATTTTATAAGTGTAACAACCACATATTCATGTACATTCTAGGATCTCCAGTGAAAAAAATTATGCATGCTCGGATGACCACTGGATGCAAACTCCTTATAATTTTTTATATTATTATATCATTGATAAAAAAAAATTGTATTCTCTATAAACCTTTTAGTTGATATTCAACATAACAGAGTGCAACATTCATACGTCCTGATAACTTCATTCCCAGGTCTTATGTTTAGAGGAACATCATTTTTTAATAAATTTAAACTTCAAGATATCAAAATAAAAAGTCAACGAGAGTGCAGGGTATTAAATAAAGTTTTTATATAAAAAAACGATAAATAAATTTTACGTGTATTCCACATGCAAATTTAACATAAAAAATAGGATAAATAACTTTTAGTGTGTACTGCACGTGCAGTGTTGAAAGCAACAACCTTTCATTGGTCAAGAAGTACAAAATACAAATGTATTGTTACAAGTCACAGATTCCATTCAATAAAAAAATAATATGTTAAGATTTAAGACCAGTAAATCGCACTTACAAGAAGACCGGCACTAATCAAAAGAGTTACATCTGTATCTTTCACTTTGCCTCCAATAGATAAAAGTGACAACTGAAATCAACAAAAAGTAACTGCTCTTACAGTCAAATAATTGAACTATTTCCATTAAAAAGTTACAATAGCTGGTACATGATATAACTATTTAAGTAAATTGAAAAACAACAAAGAAACTAAAATTCAGAAGCATTTTGAGCATTTAAAAAGTAGTAAAACTGGCAAAAGAAAATGAAAGGATAAATTAAATCAAAATCCAAAGTGCACAGAGCACAAAAGTTTTCTTCCTCACATATGATGATTTCTAACAATTGAAGCCATGTCTAATGGTAATTGTTGACAATGTCAGCTTGGATCAGAGTTTATATTATTGATGTAAAGTAATCCATAGTATTTCGTGCACTGCTAATAATGTCAGGAGTACATGCATAGAATTAATGTTTTAAAATGTAGACTAAGCAGCCGCTTATGTGTAAGTGGGTTGGAACAGCTTCGATTAGGGAAAAGGCGTTCCACTATGTGGTCATCCACATACTCGGGCGCATTTTCAGTAAGCACTCACATAATTTTTTTAAGAGCGTGCTTTTCTTTTAAATCTTTTCCGGGTTAAACCCGTATACGCCAAACCCGACTCAACTACTAAAGTTTAAAAAAAAAACTAACCCAAAATTTCCTCCATAAGTTCTGCTACCCCCTTTGTTCTCTCTTGTTTGAACCCAGTAGCTACAACAAATATCTCCGGCCTTCATCGATGCTTGCTCAACCTCGAGTTGCTCGCCGAAACTCTATGATGCACGGATACGGATACGGGACACGGATACGACACAGACACGAATACGAGATACGGCAAAATCCAAAAAAATAGGATATGAGGATACGACGATGAATATTTTTTCAAATTATTATTTTATATAGAAAATTTTATAAAATTTAACTAACAATCTAAATTATAAATCTATCACAAAATAACAAGTTGTTAAACAAAAAGGAATTGGAGTACATCCTCAGTCCATCACAAAATAACAAGTCTGTAAACAAAAAGGAATTGGAGTACATACTCTACTCATTCCATCACAAAATAACAAGTTTGTAAATAAAAAAATACATCAAGATGAAATGGAAGCTAGTCCAATGACTTCTTCATTGCCTTCATCATCAGCAAACACTACGGCCTCCATGGTGGGTTCATCAAGAGACAAGGTGGCGACATCAAGAATACCGACGCCCTGGAATGAGTCGAATGCATCTCCACCAATATCCCACAACTTCAATTCTCCTTCTTGATATTCTTGGGATGACCGAGAAAGCAAACGAAGATTGTTATGCACATACACAAGATCTACTGCCCTTGTCGGTGTCATTTTATTCCTCTTCAAAGAGTGAATGAATGAGTATGTATTCCAATTCCTTTCGCAGCAAGAGGATGAGCAGGGTTGGCCTATAAGTTTTAAGGCCAATGCTTGAAGAGTTGGAGTTAAGGATCCATAGAGCGTCCACCATGGTGTTGGATCCAACAATCCTCTATCAGCAAGAGAATCTGGATCCCTAAAAGTGTCAAGAACGACCGAGAATCTAGCATATTCCAAGTTAACTGCCCTCTGTTCATCGGCATTAGGATAATATCTCCTCAGACACTTGGACCTTTCAAAAGAGATCTCCTCATCCTGATGAGGTGCTTGCCGATGGATATTCTCATTGAGCCATGTCCCGTGATAATATCTATTAAAGTTTAACATTAAATTAGACATTATTAATAAAAATAATCACATCAAAAATAATGAATTGATAACATAATCTAAATTATTACCAATTAGACATTATTAATAAAAATAATCACATCAAAAATAATGAATTGATAACATAATCTAAATTATTACCTTGGATTCAAAGAGTGCGCCATCAAAAATAATGAATTGATAACATAATCTAAATTATTACCTTGGATTCAAAGAGTGCGCCAAGCACTACAGTGGCGTGTTGCTCTTATTCTATCTATCCTCCAAGATTTTGTGTATGACATCATAAAATGAGGAGGGATCATTTTCTCTTTTGCTCTCATGTCGATAAATAACAACATTCACCTTCTCAATCATTGTATCTCACATATCATATACCAAATGAAGGCTAGGCTTGTCTGTATCGGTGAGCCGGATCATATCATATATAGGAGCAGTGAAAGCAATAATATAATTCACCTTATCCCACCACAAATCATCAAGCACTTTCTCCTTAACAAACTGTATTTTCCCACATCATCATCTCTGTACGAGCTCCAACGGTCGCTAAGAACCATATCTTGGAGGCTTCGCTTGATCACCGTGAACCTTTTTAGCATGATGATCCATGAAACAAATCGAGTATCTGCAATTGAAAGAAGCTTCATCTTCGAATGCTCATTGAACATGGCCAGCCTCATTGAGTGATTCATGATGAAGTTCTTAATCATCAAAGCATCATCATATACATCTGTAATCCAGCTGCACTCTGCATAAGCAATTGCATTAGCCTCTGTATTCTTCGCAGCACAAATATTCTTAAGGGCAAGATTGAGGGTATGAACAACACATGAAGTCCAGAAGATGTGTGAAAATTTGTCCTCCACAACTGTCCTTGCGGCCTTGCATGCCGAAGCGTTATCAGTAATAATTTGGATCACATTTTGAGGCCCTACCTCTCTAATGCAAGCTTCAAGTTTCTCTATAATGAAATATTTATTTTTCTGCTCTCCCTCGACATTGAGGTAGTGCAAGAACATTGGCCTATTTTCTGAGACCGCAATGAAATTTATCAGTGACCTCATCTGTGCATCTGCCCAGTCATCACTGCAAATAGAAACCCCCTTCTGCTTCCGTGTCCCTGATGGTCTCCAACAACCTCTCTACGTGAGCCTTTTCACATTGCAAAAGAGTGGTCCACAAAGAATTATAACCCCGAGGCTTGTAACCAGCAATTGAATTGCTTGCGGCATATGTGATCATCTTAGAGAAATAAGGATTTCTTACCAAATTAAATGACAGCCCACCGGTATAGAACATCCTTATAATCATTGAATCCAATTCATCTCTTACCCCTGTATTGAAGGCATGTTCAACGGTGGTAACTCCCCTCCTCCTCTTTAGCTCACTGGACGAGAAGGCATGCTTTGGCTTCCTGTTGCTACACTTGACGCTGAAGAACCTGACAACGTCACTGTCCTAGGCATAGAAGCCCTCACTCTTACTTCTGTTTGATCCATATCAGTTTGCATGTCTCTCATATAGTGCGGCTTAACACTTTTGCACATTTTAATTCCTTGCCCACTAATCCGCATTAGATGTGCTTTGACCCTTGAGTAGAAGGATGTAAATACTTCATTGCAATAACTACACATCCATTGCCAATTCCCCCCTCCTTTACCCATCTTCTCCAACTTTGTGACATACTTCCACAAAGGAGTGTGATCATCTTGAACAGGATGTACACCAGAACTACCTTCTGCTTCCATTGCTATAAACAACAATGAACAAGTAGTAATTAAATATTAAACCATAACATATATGGAATGTAATATGAAAATCTCGATTAAACCATAACATATATTAAACCATAACAAATTGAAATGTTAATATTCATAATTCATTTGTATAATGTTAATAATTCATTTGTGCTAAGAAACTGAAATTAAAATTGGAAAAAATATTCATATATATATATTTAGTAAATTAAAGTATTAAACTTGTATGCTAATTTTCATTTAATCATGCTAGTATATTGCATCACTAACAACTATATTGTTAAATTTTATTTTCCTTCCTTATAGGTTACAAATAGCGGATCAAGTTTCGACTTTCAAGTCAACTAGTAGCACTACACCTAGCTCAAATAGCAAGAATCAATACTCGCAGTCTCGCACAGGATATCAAATAGTAGCTCATTTTTAACAATTATGACTGATATGTATTAATAAGAAGCAAGCAATTAGTCCTTAAATCTTTCTTTGTAAGTTAGTTAACATTTCAACAGTCATATTATTAATAAAAATCACTCAAACATTTAATTATTCAAACTGAACAGTGAACACACAGAAAAATTTTAACAGTTAACACAGAAAAAAATTAGCACAACAGTTATAATCCCGACAAAAAGAGAATAAAAAAATTAACAGGAAGTCCACTAAACAGTGAACACAAAGAAAAAAAGAAACAGGAAGACAAAGAGAAAAAAAATGAAAGAGAAAAACAAAAAGAAAAGAAAACAAAGAGAAAAACGAAACAAAAAGAAAAAAAACGAAACGAAAAACTAAACAATTTTAACAGGAACTGGGCTTCATCGTCCTCTGCTATTAAGACAAAACGAAACGAAAGCGAAGAGGGAGACCCAAAAGAGTGTAGAGAAAGAAAAGAAAAGAAAAACGAAGAGGGGGAATTACCTTCGAAGTTGAATAGGGATTCGTCGTCCTCTGCTCGTCGTCGCCACGAATCTGTGTTCTGCTCGCCGCCATGAATCGTCCTCTACTCGCCGCCGCAGGAGACTGAAGACCGAAACAAAGAAGCCCTGCTCGCCGTCCTCAGCTAGCTGTTCGTTGTCCTCTTGTCGCTGCCGCAGGAGAACACTGTTAACGAAGAGCCAAACAAAGAAGCCCTAATCACGTCCAAAAGAAGAAGCCCTAATCACGGTGAAAACAGGTAAGCGGGTTTCAGATTGAGTCGGGTTTGTACCTAATAGCCTGTTTTCACTTAAAACAATCACGCTGAAACGAATCCGTCGTCGTGTCCGGGTTACTGTTGACCGTGTCCGGCCAGCTTTGACTGTTGACCCGTGTCGGACACGGATTGACCGTGTCCAACACGTGTCGTGCACGTGTCGGGCGTGGCCATGAGGAACGAATCCGTGCTTCATAGCCGAAACTAACTAGAGGATTGGGCAACCTTTGTTGCTTTCTCTACAAGCTCCCCTACAATCACCTTGAAGCTATCCAATGTTCTCCTTGATGCTCTCTAGCGATACAAATTAGTCATAGCTTCTAAGTATATTTCTATTTTCATGAATTTTATATATTTTAACATATGAAAAATAATAAATATAAATTAACAATTTAAAAATGCACAATTCCATATAATCTGGTTAATCAGCGCATAATCTGATTAATAGTTAAACACTCTTGGGCCGCACACATAACAAAACTGTGTTTTTGAACATTGGGTAGAATAAACTTTCAAAACACAAAGGATTGTACTATCCTAGAGCAATAGTTGATCAAGGTCTCTCAACAATGCATTGAACATACATTTTTTAAACTTTTAAGTTAGAGAAAAGTTACCTTTCACATCAATAACTATTTGGTAGTGTATATAATGATATTTTCTTTGCTTAATCAGTGTCTATCCCTTTACAATAATATCTAGTTGATATATTTTTGGCACAAACATAAATATGCAACTTTGGACTTCATTACGCTTGAATGTGATTCCCATTAACATGAGGAATCAATGGGATAATACGGTCATGAAAACGTGTTAGCTCATTATGTGAGAACAAAGTGAGTGTGTTTTCAACCCAAAGAGCAAGACCAATGAGATATTAGGAGCACTTTACGTTTAGTGGGATTGTGGCTTGATCAGTTGCCGCTGCATAGAAGTAGAGGACCCTAAACAATTTCTTGTTTATTATCATCCCTCCATCTTCATATATTTCCATCTTTCATCTTTGTACATATTAGTTTTTTTGTTATCAATAAATCTCAGACTCAGCCTTTTCTCAAAAATAAAAACGCAACATTTCATTGTAAGCTTATAAAAAAGAGAATTTACCAAGCTGTGGATCAACTTATAACCTTTGCATAGAGCTGAATTTTCAAGTTGATATGGATAGATACACATGCTTTATGTTACATCCCACCATAGAGCAAATATTTTTGCCACATAAGCATGGTAAATAATTAATTCTACAATTCTCAAATAAATCTAGAGTGTTATAGAAAAGTCTAGAGCATTCTAGAATCTTTCAGAATATTCTGGAATATGGAGTCATCTAGAACATAGTAGAATGATCTAGAGTAGTGTGGAGAGTACTAAAATGAATTGGGATGTAGTGAAATGTAACTGTGTTGTAGAATACTCTAGAGAAATATGAAACTATGAGGGATATTTGAAGATCTAGAAAATTCCTATTAAGGAGGGTTGAGGCCTACAAATAGAGGGAGGACCCTCACTCACCAAACCATCCCTCCAAAGTTGCAATCCTTTGTGAGTGCAATACAAGAGTCCTCTTTCCTTCTTTGTTACTCTCTCTTGTTTAGCTAGTTAGTTTGTTTTTGTGTGAGTGCTAATGAGGCGGAACTTAAGGTCGGGTTAGATAGATAAGTGGGGAGGGGATGGGGATGATTGAACTACGCCAAGGAGAGGAAAAGGAGAGGAACGGGGTGTGATGTAATTAACTGTGCTTGGATAGACAACTAGGGGATAAGGAGGGAGAGAGAGTGATAGAACTGATATGTGTTTGTTTAGAGTAAAAATAGGAAGAGGGGAGTAATTCACTTAAAATTCAACGCATCTTCTCCCAATCCGTCCACTTTAGGAGGGCTAATAAAATGAGGAAATTTGTTTCTTTTTAACCATCGCAATCCTTCCCCTCACTAAAAAAACATAACAAACACAATTTTAAGATGGTTAGCATTGTGACCTTTCCAATCCCTCCCCTCCCCTCATAAAAAAAAGCTATCCAAACCCACTATCAGTGAGTTATTAGTGAAAGGTTCGCAAAGTGCTGCGTGTGAGCTTAGAAAAAATTAAGTCTGTAACAAGTGGTATCATAGTCTCATTGTGAGTAAGGCGTGTGGGCTACCATTGAGGAAAATCATGTTGACTTTTGCCGTTGGTCACAATGTGTCCCTTCATGGTGGGGAGGAGATTACCTTCCTCCCCTCACTCATCCCAAAAAGGGGAAGGTCTTGTGATCTAGTTTCAAGCTTCGATGGTCATCTCTCCAAGATGGAGTTCTTTGCCGATTTCAAGGAAAGACTCGAGGCTTTGGAAGGAGATGATGAGGAAGAGGCTCTAGGCTTGTGGGCCTACATCAGGCGCTCTTCAGTCTCCAAGTTAGGGTGGAGTCTGTTGAGAGGAAGTCCAATGAGATGTCCACCGAGAAGGAGGCATTGACAGATTGGACTCAGGGAGTGTTGAAACAACATGAAGTAAAGTTGTCTAGGTATGACCAAGCCCTTGCCAAACTTAAGAAGGATTGGGCTCTATGTTGTTAGGCGATAGTCAATAGCGTTGTTTTAAAAGACTCGCCTAAGGGAAAGGTGCCGAAACATTGGTATTATGTTAGAAAATGTAAGGCTAAGAAAGTGGACAACCTCTTTTGGCAAATAGAGCAATACTTTGAGGCGGTAGGCTTGAACAAGGATACTAGACAAGTGAATACCACTACACTCTACTTCACGGAGGATGCTATTCTATGGTGGTGCATGAAGCACGAAGAATTCAAAGAGGTGAATTGAGGTCCAAGTTAGATGGAGTTCAAAGAAGTTGTCTATGCCTAGTTTTACCCCGAGGAGGCAGATTAGGATGCACAAGACAAGCTGCAGACATGGAAGAAAACGGGAACTATCTAATATATCCATGACTACGTGAAGGAGTATGTTTCCCTAAAACTCCAGGTGGTTGGCAAACCAGACTATGATCATATGTATGATTTTATCAAGAGACTTCAATTGTAGGCATAACAAAAAGTACGAGATCATTGACCTAAGACCTTCAAATAAGTTATGGCCATTGACGAGTCCTTCTTTGAATTTACGAAGAGGGCGACCCATCAAAATTTAAGAAAGACTACAACGATAAAGGTGAGGGAGCCCAAGAAAGGAATTTCAAAGGGTATAGAAGGATGGGCAGAAAAACTCCTAAAAGATGAAGGGTTTTTTCAAGGACAAGGACTTCAAACCCAAGGGATGCTACTTCGGTGACGGTCCACATCGTTGGAGAAAGTATCCCGGTAGCACTATTTTAAAAAGTTTTCGCCTAGTCCGCCTAAGCGAACACCTAGATCTAGGCGGTGCCTAGGATGCCTAACTAGTGCCTAGTGCCAGGGTGGTACTTAGGTTGCCCACCTAGATATTAGAAGTGTTTAGGAGAGCATTGTTTGCTTACGTTGATTGTACCCTTTAGATCTTGATCGTGATTTTCTGTGTTGGAACCTACACGTCCTCCAACCTCCTTTAAACTCATTTTAACCTCTAAATTAGAACACATTCACTATCTCATCCGACCTTCAACAAAACCTCCTCGATCACCACTTAAATGAAGAAAGAAATCCGCCTAAACACCAATTCGGCACCTAAGCTTTCTATAACATTGATATTTACTATCAATCATTACAATTAAAAAGTAAGAAAAAAATTCTCTTGAGCTCTAGGCATCGGGTTCAACACCTAGACCTCCTAACGCTTTCTATCACATTGTTAGCTATTAGTTTGGCTATTTAGTATTTATGTATGCATGGTTTATTGTGGATCTAAGATTACTATCTTTTTTGTTTAATTTATATGAATTTAATACATATTTTTATAAATTGTTATAATTAAATAATTTTAAAAATAGCCAAACGCCTAGGTGTCGCCTAGACATCTAGACGCTAGGCACTGGCTCAAACGCCTAGCCCGTCTAGTGCCTTATGTAACATTGCTCGGTAGACAAGCCCTCAATGCTATACTTGAGCAGAAGACAGTGCACTCTAGAAAGAGAAGCAAATGGGTTTGTAGAGCTTCTCAATGCCTTGAATGTCAAACTCTCACCGAAGTTCTCACCTAAGGACGGGTTAACGTACGTAGATACGGTGATCAATGGCAAGACCGCCCTTGTCATGCTAGATATAGGTGCAACACACAACTTCATGACAGAAGATGAGGCAAAGCGAATTGACTGTGACCAAGTCTACAAGCAGCATCAAGCATGGAGCTCAATGCTTCTCCTAAGCCAACTTGTGGTGTCGCGCGAGGAGTAAATCTTGATATCGGCACATGGAAGGGAATGTTGGACTTCAATGTGGTTCCAATGGACGACTTCAAGCATGGAGCTCTTCAAAGAGACGAAGGCCATGCCTACTCCACACTTGGAATAGATGGTGATCATGAAGGAGAAAACACCATGCATGGTACCAATAAGGTATGCACTAAGATAGAGTTGAAGATTTTGGCCGCCATGCAGATCAAGATAGGCTTCAAAGGAGAAGTCATCTATCTGGCAAGAATAAAGAAGAATGGTTCAACAGAAAGAGATGGGGAAGAGATGCCTCCAGAGATAGCCAAGGTGTTGGATGAGTTTGACATGATGCCACCAGAGCTAACTAAGAAACTGCAACCGAAGAGGGAGATTGATCACTGGATAGAGTTGGTGCTTAGTACTAAACTACTAGGCATGTCATCATATCGCATGACCCCTTTGTAGTTAGAAGAATTGAGGAAGCAGTTGAAGACGATGCTAGAGGCTGGACAAATATAGTCATCTACGTCGCCTTATGGATCGCCCGTGTTATTCCGACGAAAGCATGATGAATCACTAAGAACATGCGTGGACTACCAAATGTTAAAGTAATCACAGTAAAGAACAAGTATTCTATTCCTCTGATAGCTAAGTTGTTTCTCTAGTTAGGAAAAGCACAATTCTACACCAAGCTGGATCGAATGTCGAGTACTATCAAGTGAGAATAAACATAAAGGATGTGTTGAAAACTGCATGCGTGATGAGGCATGGTTCCTATGAATTCCAGGTCATGCCATTGATTTAACAAATTGATGAGGACATCCAGGCACGTGCACGGGACTTTCGCCGTGTTTATCAGCATAGGAGACGCCGTATTCCAGCCGTACATCAGATCGCAGGGATATGGTTTTGATACTTTAGAAATTCTAGTTATTTTCAGTTAGTAGTTGGTTTCAGATCAGAATTGTTATTACTTATTTAGTTTGTTATTGGATAAGATTTAGAGAGATTTGATTGAGTTTTTAAATTCTGTAATATTCTCTATATAAACAGTTGTAATCAGAATTAAGAAAAAAATGAAAATTATTGAGATTTAGTTACCTGTGGCTTGAACGTGTGAAACGTGTGCCCTCCCCAATCGATCGTCTGCCCTCGTTTTCCTCTCAAGTTCGAAGCAGCCCCTGAAGCCCTAGTCGCCGCCATCATCCCCGTCGACGAGCACCTCCAGCGCCGCCTGCACCTCCATCCGAGTCTCGAAACCCTAATCGCCGCCCTCAGCCTTCGCCGCTCGACAACCACAGTCGAACTTCCCCTCCTCCTTCACTTCCGACAGCGCCGCCGCTACCGCGTCCCAGACCCGCCCGTCGTCGCCCTACCCGACGAAGATCGCTGCCGTTCCTCGTCCTCGAGCCGCCAGCGCAAGCTTCTCCTCCGATCGAAGTTGAACCGAACAGGTTTTTGGGCCTAGGTCTTTGAACAGACCCGATCACTATATATATTTTGGATCTGGTCTACTTTGGTTCATTGAGTTTGGTTCAGTTTGGTTAAGTGTGATCTAAATTTTGAGTCGTGATCCATTGGTGTATGGCTGACCCTGACGCTGAAGATAACGACCTCGTGCTTGATCCAGAGACTGGTATTGTTGATTTGCAGTTTTCCTCGTGGTTCGATTACCGGACGTCCGAGAGTGTTCCTGAATACGTCAACGCGTGACTCATCAGCTTGTAGACAGTGTGGAGAGCAGTTTGGGCATTAGTTCTTAGCACCGACGTTTTCATCCAGATACGCCGCTTCATCCCAATTACGTAGCTCTTGGAGGAGAACTCCCGCCACTCACATTTGGAGTTTTTACACCGCCTCCAGAGGATCCTCCCATCGAACCAGTCCAACCCGACGAAGGTTTAATTTTCTTACGCCCAAGTATTTTCGGAATTGCTATTGCGTGCATGTTATTCTCAATCTTAGTATCAATTGCGATTATGCTGTATCAGTTTGAATAGTGAGCGAGTGATTCTGTTGCTGAGTATTTCTGCTTATCTAAATATTACAAATTGAACTGTATTAAGAGAACAAATCATTACATTAATTATCAGAATAATTTTACAAAGGTTCAAACTTAGTACATTGCAACTTTTGCTTAAAAACCATCGTTCGCTTCATTTTATTCTTGAGCTTCCTGCCTAGATTGATCGCTGATTTGGTGAAACATTGTTGTCGCTGATCTTGCACCTGCATTCACATTGTTTCACATCATTTTTGGTATCAGAGCATGGTTCTAGGTTAGGAATTTTATTTTAATTTTCAGGTTAGGAAAATTGTTTTAGTTGAGTCTTTATAAATAAAAAAAAATCATCTTTAGCTGTAGTGCATGCCCACTCGTACAGGTTTACACTATCGATTGGGAGAGTCAAGTGAGTCAACTAGTGAATCCAGCATGTCAGGCAACACAGATCCCGAACTCCTTAAGCAAATAACTGAGTTAGCACGACAAATAGGTAATTTAGCCCAGGAGAGCCAAGCTACCCGCGAGATCCTGAATGACAATAACGAGAGATTAGCGAGGCTAGAAGAAGCACGTGTTGCAACTCCTCTGCCGAACGATCAAGGCTTTGGACCCATCGCCCCACCACTACAAGGCCAAGGTTATGGACACTTCGCTCATTGACCTCCACATCAACCTGTACATGATCCGGACGCGCAATACTTGAGGAGCATTAAGGTAAGTGCACCAACCTTTGACGGTAAGCTCGATCCACAAGCTTTCTTGGACTGGCTGAAGAACATGGATCGCTACTTTGATTGGTACGCCCTAACGGAACCCCGAAAGGTCAAATTCGCAGCTATGAAACTCACCGGACCCGCCTGCCAGTATTGGTCCAACCTCGAAACGCTAAGGCATATTAGAGGTGAGTTACCAATTACAACTTGGCGAGAAATGGCAGATGAACTGAAACGAAAATACCTCCCGCCATCGTTTTATCATAGACTGTTAGACAAGTGGCATCGTCTCACTCAAGGAACCAAGTCTGCGAAAGAATATGTTGCGCAATTCGACGAATTGTTTACTCGATGCAGCACCATTGAGCAAGAGGCACCAATGAAGGTCCTGTCAAAGTTTAGAGCTGGATTGAGAAATGACCTCCAAGCTGAACTCTTTGCTAGAGGAATAGACACCCTTGAGAAGGCTTACGCATTAGTTCAAGATTTAGATGAAGCCAAATCCCATAGGAATCAGGACTTTAGAACTTATTCCTCTCAGTCTTCCCGTGCCACCACCTCTAGTCAGCCTCCGAGTCGATCTAACCCTAGTTCTTCCCAGCCTAAAGTCGACCCCAAAGGCAAGGAGCCGGAGAGAGATTTCTCGAAGATCGGCCCTCACGTCAAGTGCTATAAATGCCAAGGGTATGGACACGTTGTTGCGAACTGTCCGACCCGTCACAAGGTTGCTATAATCGATGGACAATACGAATTTGAACCTGAGCTTGATAGCGACGAGTTTATCCATCAAGTTGACGATGATACCGATGATTTCGAGGATGAGGCAGATGATACTGTCTTAGGTTGTCTTAGGCAAATCGAAACTCCTACTGTATCAGTCGTCAGATGCGCCACCTCTCAATCCAAGGTTGTTGATGATTGGAGACGTACCTCCATTTTCCATACGTTCACAAAGATTGGTGATAAAAATTGTAAAGTGATCGTGGACAGTGGAAGCTGCATTAACGCGGTCTCCTCAGCAGTAATCGCTAAGCTTGGTCTTAAAGTTGTACCCCATCCTAATCCATATAAAGTATCATGGATTAACGACACCGCACTCAATGTCCAAGAGAGATGTTTAGTCTCTCTCCAATTTTCCATTTATAAGGACAAAGTTTGGTGTGATGTTTTGAAAATGGATGTGGGTCAAGTTATTCTTGGGCGACCCTGGCTATTTGATAACGACGTTCATATCTTCGGGCGATCCAATATGCTATTATTCGAGCATGACGGGAAGAAGGTCAAGATCCTTCCGGTTCAACCGAAAGGTAATGACAAGAAGCCCGATCCAAACAAGTTTTCCCAAGGCGTTAATCTAATTGGAGCTAAAGAGATTGATCGTGAACTGTCCAATGGAGCTCCCATTTTCGCCCTCGCTGCTAGAGAAGCTCCTAAGGATATTGCTAATACAGCTCCCCCAGAAATCACTCCTGTGTTGGAAGAATTCTCTGACGTCTTCCCTGAGGACCTCCCGGACCAGTTACCCCCGATGCGTGATATTCAACACGCAATTGATTTAGTCCCGGGAGCAACCCTTCCTAATTTGCCTCACTATCGAATGAACCCCAATGAGCATGCAGAGTTAAAGAGGCAAGTTGATGAGCTGCTGAAGAAAGGCTTTGTGAAAGAAAGCATGAGCCCTTGTGCGGTTCCCGCATTATTAACGCCCAAGAAGGATGGTACATGGCGTATGTGTGTGGATAGCCGTGCAATCAACAAGATCACGGTGAAATATCGTTTCCCCATTCCCCGGTTGGATGACATGCTTGACTTAATGTCTGGAGCCACCATCTTCTCTAAGATTGATCTTAAGAGTGGCTACCATCAGATTCGCATCCGTCCTGGTGACGAATGGAAGACCGCTTTCAAGACGAAAGACGGATTGTATGAGTGGATGGTCATGTCCTTTGGCTTGACTAACGCTCCGAGCACTTTTATGAGAGTGGACTCAAGTACTCCGCCCCTTCACAGGAAAATTCTTGGTGGTGTACTTTGACGATATTCTTATTTACAGTAATTCTCGCGAGTAATACGTGGACCATCTGCGTCAAGTCTGTGCCGTGTTAAGAAAAGAGCAACTTTATGCTAATCCTAAGAAGTGTATTTTTCTTACACAACAAGTCATTTTTCTAGGATTCGTGGTCTCGTCCGAAGGAGTATCCGCCGACCCTGAAAAGATTAGAGCTATTGAAGAATGGCCCGAACCCAAGAACATTAGAGACGTTCGAAGCTTTCACGGACTTGCTACTTTTTATCGTCGGTTTATCAAGGGCTTCAGTACCATCATGACCCCTATTACCGATTGCTTGAAGAAAGGTGAGTTCGGGTGGTCAAAAGCTGCCACCAAGACATTTGAAGAGATCAAGCAAAGGATGTCGCAGGCTCCTGTTATGCGCCTGCCCGATTTTTCTAAAGTCTTCGAAATTGCGTGCGATGCCTCTGGTATTGGTATAGGTGGAGTCCTATCTCAAGAAGGACATCTCGTTGCTTACTTTAGTGAGAAGCTGAATGATACTAGGCAACGTTATTCCACCTATGATAAAGAGTTCTATGCGGTGATACAATCTCTTCGACACTGGCGTCACTATCTACTACCACAAGAATTCGTCATATACTCTGACCACGAAGCTCTTCGATATATTCACTCCCAAAAGAATGGCTTTCTCCTGAAGGATGGATATCTGTTCCATTTTCGCAAGTTGTGTATTCCCGACATCTCGCTGAGAGAATTCTTGAGTTGGGAACTACACGCTGGAGGCCTTGCAGGACATTTTGGGAATAACAAGACTGTCGAAGCAGTTGAATGTCGTTTCTATTGGCCAAGTATTAAACGTGACGTTGTTAGGCTAGTGGGTCGATGTCACACCTGCCAACTAGCTAAGCAACGTAAGCAGAACACTGGCCTGTACACCCCTCTTCCTGTCCCAAATTGTCCCTGGCAAGATATCAGCATGGACTTCGTGTTAGGACTCCCAAAGACAATTAGAAAACACGATCCTGTCCTTGTTGTTGTGGACCAATTCTCCAAAATGGCCCACTTCATACCATGCTCCAAAACTTCTGATGCTTCTCATGTAGCCAAGTTATACTTTAATGAAGTTGTTAAACTGCACGGGCTTCCGAAAACAATTGTGTCTGATAGGGACGTTAAATTTACTAGTTACTTCTGGAAAACCCTTTGGCACAAAATGGGAACTAAGCTTCAATTCTCGACAGCGTTTCATCCCCAAACCGATGGTCAGACTGAAGTAGTCAACAGGAGTTTAGGGAACCTATTGAGATCGCTAGTAGGCGAAAATCTTAGGGATTGGGATCAACATCTGCCTACTGCTGAATTTGCTTATAATAACTCTGTTAATAGGTCTACAGGTGTCAGTCCAGCTGAAGTAGTGTATGGTTACAAACCTAGACAACCTATAGATCTTGTCCCCGTGTCTGCACATCACAGAGTATCTGAGTCAGCATCTGCATTTGCATCTCGCATTCATGACTTGCATAAAGACATCAGTATAAAGATCAATGATAGCAATACTAACTATAAAATGCGAGCAAATCTAAGAAGGAGGTTTAAAGAATTTAGTGTAGGCGATTATGTGATGGTCCGGATACGTTCGGAACGGTTTCCTCCAGGAACTGTTAAAAAGTTACATGCACGAAGTGCAGGGCCTTTTAAAATTCTCAAGAAAATTAATGATAATGCCTATGTTCTCGACCTTCCTGAAGGTTTTAATATTGGTTCAACTTTTAATATTGAAGATTTAGTAGAGTACAAAGGCCCACATTTTAACCCTGACAACCCACTGGTTGATGAGCCTACCCCTGAGCCTATTTCTGAGAGCTCCCCTTTACCTCCACTTCCCCAGATATCACCCACAGCACCTTTATGAGAGTGATGACTCAAGTACTCCGCCCCTTCACGGGAAAATTTTTGGTTGTGTACTTCGACGATATCCTTATTTATAGTAACTCTCGTGAGCAGCATGTGAACCATCTGCGTTAAGTCTGTGCCGTGTTAAGAAAAGAGCAACTTTATGCTAATCCTAAGAAATGTACTTTTCTTACACAGCAAGTCATTTTTCTAGGATTCGTGGTCTCGTCTGAAGGAGTATCCGCCGACCCTGAAAAGATTAGAGCTATTGAAGAATGGCCCGAACCCAAGAACATTAGAGACGTTCGAAGCTTTCACGGACTCGCTACTTTTTATTGTCGGTTTATCAAGGGCTTCAGTACCATCATGACCCCTATTACCGATTGCTTGAAGAAAGGTGAGTTCGGGTGGTCAAAAGCTGCCACCAAGACATTTGAAGAGATCAAGCAAAGGATGTCGCAGGCTCCTGTTATGCGCCTGCCCGATTTTTCTAAAGTCTTCGAAATTGCGTGCGATGCCTCTAGTATTGGAATAGGTGGAGTCCTATCTCAAGAAGGACATCCCGTTGCTTACTTTAGTGAGAAGCTGAATGATACTAGGCAACGTTATTCCACCTATGATAAAGAGTTCTATGCGGTGATACAATCTCTTCGACACTGGCGTCACTATCTGCTACCACAAGAATTCGTCATATATTCTGACCACGAAGCTCTTCGATATATTCACTCTCAAAAGAAGTTGAACGCCAGACATGGTCGTTGGGTTGAGTTCCTCCAGGATTATACCTACACGATCAAACATAAAGCGGGAGTAGAAAACAAGGCCGCCGACGCACTCAGCCGCCGCATGCACCTCCTCTCCATTTTGAGTGCGGAAGTCACCGGCTTTGAGAAAGTTAAAGACCAATATGAATCGTGCCCTGATTTTAGCGAAGTTTATACTTTGCTGAGTGATGGAGTGACCCGTGAGATTGATGGCTTTCTCCTGAAGGATGGATATATGTTCCATTTTCGCAAGTTGTGTATTCCCGACACCTCGCTGAGAGAATTCTTGATTTGGGAACTACACGCTGGAGGCCTTGCAGGACATTTTGAGAATAACAAGACTGTCGAAGCAGTTGAGTGTCGTTTCTATTGGCCAAGTATTAAACGTGACGTTGTTAGGCTAGTGGGTCGATGTCACACCTGCCAATTAGCTAAGCAACGTAAGCAGAACACTGGCCTGTACACCCCTCTTCCTGTCCCAAATTGTCCCTGGCAAGATATCAGCATGGACTTCGTGTTAGGACTCCCAAAGACAATTAGAAAACACGATTCTATCTTTGTTGTTGTGGACCGCTTCTCCAAAATGGCCCACTTCATACCATGTTTCAAAACTTCCGACACTTCTCATGTGGCCAAGCTATACTTTAATGAAGTTGTTAAACTGCACGGGCTTCCGAAAACAATTGTATCCGATAGGGATGTTAAATTTACTGGTTATTTCTGAAAAACCCTTTGGCACAAAATGGGAACTAAGCTTCAATTCTCGACGACGTTTCATCCCCAAACCGATGGTCAGACTGAAGTAGTCAACAGGAGCTTAGGAAACCTATTGAGATCGCTAGTAGGCGAAAATCTTAGGGATTGGGATCAACATCTGCCTACTGCTGAATTTGCTTATAATAACTCTGTTAATAGGTCTACAGGTGTCAGTCCAGCTGAAGTAGTGTATGGTTACAAACCTAGACAACCTATAGATCTTGTCCCCGTGTCTGCACATCACAGAGTATCTGAGTCAGCATCTGCATTTGCATCTCGCATTCATGACTTGCAAAAAGACATCAGTAAGAAGATCAATGACAGCAATGCTAACTATAAAATGCGAGCAGATCTAAGAAGGAAGTTTAAAGAATTTAATGTTGATTACGTGATGGTTCGGATACGTCCGGAACGGTTTCCTCCGGGAGCTGTTAAAAAGTTGCATGCGCGAAATGCAGGACATTTTAAGATTCTCAAGAAAATTAATGATAATGCTTATGTTCTCGACCTTCCTGAAGGTTTTAATATTGGTTCGACTTTTAATATTGAAGATTTAGTAGAGTACAAAGGCCCACATTTTAACCCTGACAACCCACTGGTTGATGAGCCTACCCCTGAGCCTATTTCTGAGAGCTCCCATTTACCTCCACTTCCCCAGATATCACCTACATATACAGCACATGACATTGATGCTATTATTGATGATAATATTGTTTCTACTAGCAATGATGGTATCCGCAGGTATTTGGTTCGTTGGAAAAATAGACCTGAGTCTGATGATACTTGGCTCGAGGTATCCGCAGGTATTTGGTTCGTTGGAAAAATAGACCTGAGTCTGATGATACTTGGCTCGATCGAGGTTATTTACAGAGACTGGATCCAGATCTTCTTGAGCAGTATGACAGCCGTCTTGATTTACACTCGACAGGGTCGAGTTCTCTCCCACCTGGGGAGAATGATGAGGACATCCAGGCACGTGCACGGGACTTTCGCCGTGTTTATCAGCGTAGGAGACGCCGTATTCCAGCCGTACATCAGATCGCAGGGATATGGTTTTGATAGTTTAGAAATTTCAGTTATTTTTTAGTTAGTAGTTGATTTCAGATTAGAGTTTTTGTTAGTTATTTAGTTGTTATTGGATAAGATTGAGAGAGATTAGATTGAGCTTTTAAATTCTGTAATAATCTCTATATAAACATGATTTGTAATCAGAGTTAGAATCAATGAAAATTATTGAAATTCAGTTGCAATTACCTGTGGCTTGAACGTGTGAAACGTGGGTGTGAAACCCTAGATCTCTGTTCCTCTTCCTGCCCAAGCCGCCGCCGCCGCTCCTCCTTCCCCTCGAATAGCCGCCCAACTCCGCCACCCCTCTCCAATCGATCGTCTGCCCTCGTTTTCCTCTCAAGTTCGAAGCAGCCCCTGAAGCCCTAGTCGCCGCCATCATCCCCGTCGACGAGCACCTCCAGCGCCGCCTGCACCTCCATCCGAGTCTCGAAACCCTAATCGCCGCCCTCAGCCTTCGCCGGTCGACAACCACAGTCGTTTGAGTCGTGATCCATTGGTGTATGGCTGACCCTGACGCTGAAGATAACGACCTCGTGCTTG